ACATATGAATATAGAATTCAGGTAATAGATGGAAATAATTGCATAACAAGAAATCAGAAAACCCCTTGCAAAATTAGAATAGAGACAACCTGAAGGAAATGTTGGATATCAAGGAAGAATGCAATCAATCAGTCAATGGCTTACCTTCCATGGAGCAGAAGTTTGTCACAATGCACTGGGTGTCAGTAGGATGGCAATCCATTTCTTTAGTCCTGATATCTCTTCCTCTTGGGTTCCACTCTTAGCTCTGTCCCACCCATCTACATGGTCTGTAGCAGGGTTGTTTTTTTTTTTGGATATCAGTTCAGAGTTCTGCTAATATGATTTTTAGTTGCTCAACACAGATACCACATAGCAGGCCAGCCACTTTTGTATCTCTTTGGTTTAATTTAGCATTGTCCCTGGCACACAATACGTGCTTTGAGAGCTGAACCAACTCACAGCTTTCAGAGGAGATTGATCTGAAGGTAGCATTTCTAATATAGTGAAAGTAATCTACACTGACACTTAGGTCAGAGAAGAAACTCAGTGGCCTGGCTGAAAAGGCTGCCCATCACCTGTCCTGTCCCCCACTCCAACCTCCTTTCCCCTTTGTGTCATACATTCCAATCATTCTGATCTACTCTGTTGTCTGAATGTGCTAGCCTGGTTCATAGCTACATGTTTTCATGCCGTATTTTCCCTCTATCTGCAATGTACCTTCTAACATTCCTCTATAACACCTGAAAAATTCCTTCTGATTCTTTAAGATCCAGGGCCTCTGTAAAGCCTGTTCCAACCCTCTCAAAATAGGGCTGCTGAAACCCTACTCTAACTTGTACGCACTTCTATGATAGACTTACCACATTATTAACAACAGCAACTAACAGTGCAAAGCTCTTTTCTAAGCACTTTAATGTTACTCATCCATCTAATCTTCTCAATACCCACGGGGTGAGTATACTGTTCTAGCATTTTACAGGCAAGGAAACTGAGGCACACAGAGGTAAAGTACACTCAATTATTTGCTTTACACCCATTACCTCTCTATCAGACTATGAATTTCTTGAGGGCAAAGAATATAACTTACCTATTACTGGGGTCTAGCACAGTACCTGACACATAAGTATTAGATAAATATTTGAATGAATGAACAATTATATTGAAATGTACAATTTAGGCTGAACTCCTAAGTATTAATATTTCATGTAAGGTCCTTTAAAAAAAAATACAGTGAGCCAGGTGCAGGGCTTGCACCTGTAATCCCAGTTATTTGCGAGGCTGAGGTGGGAGTCACTTGAGCCCAGGAGTCTGAGGCTTTAGTGAGCTTATGATTGTGCCACTACACTCTACCCTGGGTGACAGAGTGAGACCCCATCTCTAAACAAAACAAAAACATAGAGTGTTCTGTCACTTTCAACCTAGGATGGACTAAAACTACTCTTCACCAAGAGCTCAGAATCTGAATACTCACTTTCTGCCCTTTCCCTACATGCCTATTATTTTGGGGTAACCCAAATTTGAAAAAGCAAAAGAACTCTTTGAAGAAATATTTGAAACAAATGACCTCTGAACTGTAATATGGAATATATGGTGGGTAGAATTATGACACTGAAACCTTGCTAGTAAAGTGTTATGAAATAGAAATCAACAACTTGGTGATTAAGAGCACAGACCTTTAACTTCAGATAAATCTACATTCGAGTCCCACTTATTCGTTATACAACCCTGACTGGGCAAGTTACTTACAAGTTAATCTCAGTTTCCTTTTCTCTAAAATAGGGATAACAGTAAAATTTATATTATAAATACTTAATGCTTGGGTATGGGATAAGCCTTCAATAAATTTTAGCCATTATTGTTTTCATTATCTTCCACCTTGGATCCTATACACTTAGTTTAATTACTGATGTACAAAAAAATTACAAATTTTTCTTCTTAGGGTGACCCCATAACAAAGAATCTCCAAAATAATATTATAATAAAGCTTATATAAATCAC